AAAAAAAAATAATAGTCCAACGAAGGTCAATACTTTATTTAATTCAACTATTGTAACTTCTAGAGTAGCGTCTGCTCTAGATAGAACGAAAGTAAGTGATCGAAATGCAATGTATGTTTTATCAGCTACAGTACAATCATTAGGGCATAATATACAAAATTTTACCCTTAATCGAGAGTCAATAAGACAAGCTCGTCGAGAATATCGAGAAAAAATCGCTGATGAAATAAAAACTTCATTTGTTACGACTATTCCATTGACAGTCCATTGGGACGAAAAATTACTTCCAGATTTAACTTCAAAAGATAAAGTTGATCGCCTAGCAGTTATAGTATCAGGGGATGGTATTATGAAATTACTTGGTGTGCCGAAAATTCCAAATGGAACGGGGGAAGCCCAAGCAACTGCAGTGTTTGAGTTACTTGAAGAATGGAATTTAGTTGAACGCATTAAGTTTATGTCCTTTGATACAACAGCAAGTAACAGTGGAGTAAAGGCCGGTGCGTGTGTACTTCTTGAAAAAAAAATTAAAAGAGACCTCCTCAGTTTAGCATGTCGACACCACATACTGGAACTTATTATTGAGAGTGTGTTTAATGCGTTAATGGGAGCTTCAAGTGGTCCTAATATCAAAATATTTCAACGATTTGCAGAAAAGTGGAACGAAATTGACGTAGACAAATACGAAAGTGGAATAATTGAAGATACAGTGGCTAGTAAATTAAATCCACAAAAATATCTTCTTGTCAAGTGTATCAATGACCAGTTAGCGACATTTCAGCCTAGAGATGACTACAAGGAATTGCTGCAACTTTCCCTAATATTCCTAGGAGATGAATCTGCTAAAGATTTTAAGATTCGTAGACCTGGCGCTTTACATCGAGCTAGATGGATGGCAAAGTTAATTTATAGCTTGAAAATTTTCTTATTTCGATCGCAGTTTAAACTAAGTGCTAGAGAATTATCTGCACTTGAAGCCTTCAACGTTTTCGGCATACAAGTTTATATTAAGTACTGGTATACTGCGTCTAGTGGAGAACTAGCTCCTTATAACGATCTTAATCTTTTGAAGGAACTCGATAACTATAAAAAATCAAATATAGTTATAGGCAACGCGGCTGCCAAAACCTTCTCAAGACATTTATGGTACTTAAGTGAGACACTTATTGGATTAGCCTTTTTTGACAGCAGAGTTTCTTCTGAGATGAAAGTTAATATGGTTAAATCATTAGTGAAAAAAGGAGCTGACTTTCCTTTACGGCGTATTACAGTTGAGACGACTGCAGTTCAAACAGTACAATTGTCTGATTTTGTTTCTAAAAATAGCCTCATATTATTTACAGCCTTGGACATCCCCCAAGATTTCTTAAATCAGAATCCAGATACTTGGGAAAATCACAAAGATTTCATTGACGGTTGTAAAAGGGTTCAACATCTGAAAGTAGTTAACGATGCAGCTGAACGTGGGATTTCGTTGATTCAAACTTTCAATGGGATAATCACCAATCAAGAAGAACAAAAGCAGTATCTTTTGCAAGTAGTAGAACAAC